GCTGGGAACCGGCGCGGCCAGGGCGGCGGAGGACCGCAGAGCATGAGAAAGCCGGGGGCAAAAGCTTGCGCATTTAAGTGCATACAATATTCCACACAAGTTTCTGTACCCGTGTGCGTACACACGCGTGCACACACACACACAGACACACATGAACACTCACACACATATACAAATACATACACACTTGCGCGCACGCACACACACTGGCGCGCGCGCACGCGCACACACACACACACACACACACACACACACACACACACACACACACACACACACACAGACATAAAAGTAGGGCCTCCAGCAATGGACGAACCAGCCACAAACCCATCCCACAGGCGCCAACCCCCATGCCCCCACCAGGAAGCACTCTCAAAGACTCCGGCAGCACACACACACACACACTCAAAAAACACACACACACACACTCACACACACAAACACGCTCACACACACGCGCACCTTGGTCTTGGGCACGATCATGCCGACCGCCTGCGACCCGTAGTATTCCGGCAGCGTCACGTGCGCGCCGCTGCTCGCCCTCACCGCCTTCTTGACCCCCGGGTCGGACTGCTCCCGCAGCGCGTCCGCGTACGGGCCCGTCGCGTTCACCACGACGCGCGCGTGCACCTCAAACGGCCGCCCCCCGCCCTGCCGGTCCGCGATCCGCGCGCCGACGACGCGGCCGGAGGCGTCCTTGATGAGGGAGGACGCCTCGGCGTGGTTGGCAACCGCGGCGCCGGCGGCGGCGGCGGTGCAGGCGAGGGCGACGTTGAGGCGCGCGTCGTCGAACTGGCCGTCAAAGTATTGGATCTGGGGTCGCCGGAGGGATTGATTTGGGCGTAAACGAGTCATCAGCAGCAGTATCTGATGCTGGATGATGTGTGCCGTGTCGCAGCAATGGATGCGGGCCAAAGGCGGGGACGGATGGACCCATGGGCTGCGCCTGCCCCGAAGCCGGCGGCAGTGCTTGAAGCTAGTCAGGGGCTGCCTGTGGTGTTGTGGGTGCGTGGAAAGCAGCAGCCACCAACGAACAGGCACTTGATGCTCACAAACCAGGCACCAGCCCCAGCGACGGCAGCAGCACTGGCAGCAGCAGCAGCACTGGCAGTAGCGGCGGCAGCGGCAGGGGAGACAGCGTGATCCGACCCCACCCAAGCGCGTGCCGCTCACCGCGCCCTTGAGGCTGCGCGCGTTCGGGTTGGGGTCTGCGAGCGTGGGCAGCAGCCGCACCGACTCGCTGGGGCTGAGGTACTTGCTCCACGCCAGGTTGCGCATGCCTGGTCAGCGGCCGCATGGGGGGAAGCGGGCGCGTCGGGCGGCGGCATGGGGGCGGGCGGTCGGCCCCGCCATCAAGGGAGGGGGAGTTTGGCGCCTGCACCGCCAGACCGACGGGGGGGACGGCCGCCACCCCAGCCCGAGGGCCGTCGTGCGGCCATCGGGCGTGCCTGGCAGGGCCATGCCTCGCAAAATCATAGAAGGTGTGCTTGACACTACCCCCCACATCAACCCTACGCACTGCCGACGCGCATGCTCAGCCAGGCCCCAGCCTCCCGCTAAAGTCCCTCAGGCAGCGCCCAAACGCCCCGGTCTGGTGAACGCCAGCGCCCCCCCCCCCCGTCTCACCCGCCACCAGGTCGTACATCTTGAGGCCGGCCCAATAGAAGGGCACCTCCCACCACTTGTAGCACGGCATCAGGATGGGCAGCGGCCGCGCCAGGTGGGGCGCGTTGGCCAGGAGGTCGCTCCGCTCCTGTCAGGGACAGCGATGTGGGCGACGGCAACGCAGCAAGCCGCGAGCAGCCGAAAGGGTTAGGTTAGGGCATCACGGCCTGCGGCTGAGACGTCATTACATACGCCGGGACCTGAGGCCCGTGCTGGCGCCATCCTCCCGATGCCGCCGGAGAGGCGAAGCTTCTTTTGCATCTGGCGCACGCATGTTCGCACGCGACAGGCGTGCCCCGCAGGCGTGCCGGCGCGGCCGCGCCTCCCTGAGCAACACGATAAATACTGGTTTCCCCCCTCCTCCCCGAAACAGCTGATGCACCTGCAGCGCCTCGTACACCAGCTTGAGCTGCGCCTTATCCAGGTTGAACACGGCTTTCTGGGGGTTGGGGAGGGAGGAGAGCCGGCGCTCGTGGGCTTGCAGACGGCGCAATGCGAAGGGCCGCGAGCCAGCGACGCGGCAGCTGCCTGGCTCCTGGCAGGCTCGGCCTGCCCCCGACGCTTCCTGCGACGCGTCGGGCCCCGGGCCCTCAGGAGCTCAAACGAGCTTGGCGCGTCTGCAGTGTTTTGGGGCGGCACGTGGTCTCTCTCTACCCTTCCCGATGCTCCAGCCTCGTGGATGCATGCGAGCACACGCTGGCGGCAGCTGCGCGGAAGGCGCCCACACCTCCAGGTAGCGCACGCCGCCGTGCACCAGCTTTGTGGACTTGCTGCTGGTGCCGCAGCCGAAGTCGCCGCGCTCCACCATCGCGGTGCGCAGGCCCCTGGGGGCCGCGGAATGAAGGAATGCATAAGCATGAGGCGTCTCATGCACCCACCGGCACACCTACACGGTCGCATGTGAATGTGACCGCGGGGGTTTAAAAACCCCCGCGGTCGGTCGCCAACATGGGGGCCAGGCGGACCCCCGAGCCCGCTGCTACGCCAGGCCGCCCCCGCCGCGCCCCACCTCGTTGCCGCGTCGAGTGCGCAGCCAGCGCCGGTGGCGCCGCCGCCGATGATCAGGACATCAAAGGGGTCGTCCTTGCTGCCCGCCCTGAGCCGCGCGAGCTGCTGCGCACGCGTCGGCACCGGGCCCACAGCGAGTAGCTCGTCGCCCGCCCCCGGCGCGTTGGCGCGGGCGGCGCCCGGCCCCTGCAGCAGGTAGCCGCTGCTCGCCCCGGCGCCGAGGATGGCCGCGAGAGGCAGCGCCGCGGAGCGCAGCATCGCGGCGGCGCAGGTCGGTGCGCTCGGCTCAGCAGCAGCGACACGCCAAGAGCGCCGCTTGCCGGCTGCACGCTCCTTAGGTGACTCTCTGGATACAGAGCTATCGAAAGACCTCTAGTCCCCCTTATGGCTAGTGCGCTAAGGGTTTGTGAACTAGCGAGCTATTGCCCGGTCCACGACCACCAGATCGCTCTGCTTAGGTGTGTGGTGCCATATATATGCTCTCCAACAAGACTCGAACGCTCTATTTCAAGCGGCAGGGCCGCGGGACGCGGGTGTGCCGTGGTGTGACGGAGGCAGCAGGTAGAATCTTGCAGAAAGGACAATGCTGCGCGTAGACGTACAAATAATACCAGGTTGAAGCCATTTCGCTCGATGTCATCAATTGCTGGCTTCGTGGTGGCTAGACAAGGGCCTGAACACGTGCTGACATGGCTTGCTGTTGCCCGTGGTCCCAACCGACGGCCAGCACACGCTCCAACTTGTAAACCGTTGGCAGCGGGTGAGAGGGCACATGCACACGTCAGGGTGCAAGTGAAAAAAACCCTCGACCCACTGGGGGAGGGGGGCGAGCACCTGCAAGTTGCCGAAGGGAGTGCGAGGTCCGCAGTTGCAGTGGGGGCCTGCAAGCTCACGTCATCAATGCATCAACTACGCTGTGCACGCTCCATAGATACCTGGTGCGCTGTAACAAGGCTTCGTGGATAAGCACTCGCTCATCCCCCCGCAAGCGGGAAGATGAGCAAGACAGGGATCAAGAGGCGGGGGCCCCAGGGTGCGGGCGATGCCATTAGTAGGGGGCCAGTGAACGAAGGGCAGGCTGCGGGGGCAAAGAGATTCGTGAGGTACACGCGAGAGGTTTAGGGGGGATGTCAAGCCACAGTTCCAGCTTCAGGCCAAGGGCCGTGCCAAGGCAAAGCAGGCGTAGTTGTGAAGTGTAGCCTCCGCATCCAGCAGGGGGGTCTGGGGGGGCGCGAGCCCACCCGACCGTGGCTCGGCATCCCTGCATGGCTTACAAGCATGCATGCAAACGGAACGTCTTCAAAGTCACACGACTGCACACCTGACGGTGCCACCAGTCCTTGCTAGAGCCGTAGCGCGTGCATGTGCCGTTGGCACTGCATCATAGGCATTGTGGCTTTAACGAAGGGTCACTTAACCGCATGCAAACGGTTCGATCTGGTATCCAGCCGTAAATACGCTGTCAAACGCCGCGTCAGCGGCCGGCGCCAGGCGAGTTACGCGGCAGCGGGTCACCCAATCGCGTCACCATGCAGAGCAACGAAGTGCGAGTCAAGTGAAAACTCCACACATGATGCAAGACATGGCACATGTCTGAGCCCTCCCCGCCACTGCTCGAATTCTCCTTGAACCGTGCATGCATGATTTCCACCCGCACGGCAGGAATGTGCACCTGTTCACAGCAGCACGTGCCTCACGCTAGTAGATACACCAACGTCCAGCAGGGGGGTACGGGGGGGCGCGAGCCCACCCGGCCGAGGCTCGGCAACCTTGCATGGCTCAGGGGCACGCATACAAATGGGATGCCCTTGAGGCCACTCCACTGCACAAGGCGCCGCCGTCAGCGCCACATCAGCAGCAGTGCTGCAAATGACCTAACACGCGGGCGTGGCTCAGAAGAGCTGGAAGGCCGCATGATATTAGTGTACCAGTATATTAGGCGCACATACACCCTCAAACACCGCGTCAGCGGCCGGCGCGAGGCCGGAGCCACACCGCAACAGGTCACCCATCCCGACCAAGGTCCGGAAAGAGTTACGAGCAAAATTTATATAACAAAGTGCTCTTTTACATAATATTTAGACGCTGATGCGCTCCGGAATCTCTCGCGCGCGGGCTCTCGGTCTCCCGGGCCATCCCGGAGGCCGCGTTCGAAACGGAGCGGGGCAAAGTGCAGGGCTGCTCGCCCGAATCAAAACGCACCCGGGGATCAAGGCTCTCGCGCAGCGCGCGCGCGCCGCGGCGCAGACGGAGATCCGCCCGCCGCCGTCACGTGCGCGGGCTGCGCGCGGATCGGGTATGTGGGATGCGCAGGGGCGGCGACCCCACACAATTCCACGGGCCCGGCTCTTATGCCCTGCCCTAAACCTCGAATGCGGGTCCCACCATAGGAACTGTGGCTTGAATGATGTCGTTATTGACTGGAGTTCCCCAAAACTTTTTTTCCCTGGCAACCTTTGGACCAAAACCAAGAAGTGAACAAGTGAAGAGATCCGACCACTGGGACTCGCCGAGCAAGCGGCTGATGGTGGCGTTTAGCGCACCCCCAAGAGTGCAGTGAGAAGCTTTGCCATAGGTCGCAGGGATCCAGCCGATTAGCCCGCGCTAGAACCCATCAGCCTTAGACATGCGCAGAGGGGGAATGGCTGCTCAAGACGTGCAGCGGCATTCGTCGGACCTCTGGGGTGACGAAGCGTGTTGATGCGTCATGTAGAGTTGGCGAAGCAATTCATGAGGCATGCGAGTATCAAGATTTTGCTGGGAGAGCCTGTCAGGCGACGACACTGCACGAGATGCTGCTCAACAGCTCTCAACCTGACTGCCTGCACTAGAGCTGTGCCTGCCTGTAAGCAGGGTTGATTACAGTGCCACGATTGCAGCCCTGCCCCCGGGCTCCCCACCATCCCGCACCACCCCGCCGAGGCTTCCCGCTCCCCACAGCTTACGACTGGCGACCGCAGGTAGTCGCGTGGCCGGCACCTCACCCTCGGTTGAAGGCCTGTCAAGCTGTGGCCATTGGGCCTGCCTGGCAGTGGGCCGCTGCGAGCGTGTTCCCCTTGATCATGCCACCTTTGGGACGGCCAAGGGCACTGCTTTAACGCTGTGTTGTCGTGGGGCAGGATCTGGTGTCAGGAGGCGGCGAGAATGGTACCACGGCTTGACAGTCCCGCTCACATGGTGTGGACGAGAGACACGTATGCACTGTGCAACATGCTGATGCTCCTGCGCAGGTAGCGCCCTACAGCATGCATGGCACCAAGCTGTGGTGCTAGCTTGGGACACGGGTAGAGCCGGGCCAGACCTGGCCATGGTGTTTCCCTCACATCTACCAACCAAAGACAATGCATTCTTGCAAACTATCACACATCGCGGGCTTTACTTCCTATGCAGCTAGCCTGCAGGTTCGATTGCCTATGCCTGATTACCATCATCTGTGTGTCCTCAATCGTGTGCTGCTGTGATGCATCGGGGCCTCACTGCCGGCGCATCATGCAGTGCTGCTGTCTCAAAGCTATCGATTGTAGTACATGCAATTGTCTCTGAGCATGCAGGCAGTGACGAGTACTCGTTTACTGGGTGCCGTGTAGGGGGGTCGGCCGTCACTGGAGACTTGAATTGAGGCCAGCAGCAGTGTTATAGACAAAGAGTTTAGGGTATCCCTGCCCGAACCCGGTCCACTTCCGACCATCATAAGGCATATGTGTGCAATCAGGCTGTACCTGCTCCGTGCTGGGTTGGCCGATGCGGTCGCCAGCGCGCTCTGAGCGCGGGTAGTGACGTTGGGACGTGCTGGGTCGGTTGCGGAGAGCGGGCCCTTGCCTGGTGACCTCTTGCGTCGTGTACGGTACGTCTACATTTCAATACAGACGACGGATATAGTATGCAGAATATGCGTTTGTGCCACGTACGTGACGCGATTGGCGCATGTCAGATCTGCTCGCCAGGCATGCGTGTGAAATGGAGCCCGGATACGATCAAGGAATGCAGAATCTGGCACTGAAATAATGACGGACGATCAGTGGGTGCGTTCGCTGGCAACGCACCGTCAACCCTGAGCAGGGCGGGTGGTACATCGTTGTTGCAGCACTGGCCGCTGCTGTCTGCACGGGGGCCGTGCAGCAGCGGCCCTGCAGCGCCGAGCCGCACTGATTCGCAACGCAGTCTAGCATATGACACTGCTGCCCTGTCCTCTGTCCGCCGTGCGACCCATGCCCCGCCACGCCGACAGCGCCCGCTGGCGCGGCTGCGCCACGTCCAAGGAGTCGCCCTGCGCTGCTTCGCGCCGCGCGTGCCGCTGGGCCGCCGCGATCGCATCTTCTTTGAGATTCACGACGCGCAGGACGCGGCCGGGGAGCCGCTGTACACGAGCGAAGAGGTGGGCGGGCGGGCCCGCCGCCGCTGCTGCTGCCGCGGCCGCTGCCGCCGCCCTCGCCCCTTTCCGCCGTTTCTCCCCCGCTCCCCCGCACGCCGCACGCGAGCCGCCGCGCCCGCAGCTGCGTGTGTTCCCGGCGCCCTTGATGGGCCGTGAGTCATCAACTGACTCATCGCCATCCTCCCCAGGTGCCTCTGGATGTTGACCTCCTCTGGGACGGCTTGGAGCTCGCGACCGACGGCGACGACCCCGCGGATCCCGCCGCTGCGGCCCGCCTGGAAGCCCTGCTCCACGCGCCCAGCGGCGGGGAGCTGCTGCTGACCATCAAGGCCGCGGCGGCCGCGCGGCGGCGCGGGCCGGGCGGCCGCTGCAGCCCGGAGGCCGTGGCGGCGCTGCCGGGCAACAGGTGCCCTTGGGCGGCCCCGGGGGCCGGCGCGGGCAGGGGGTGTGGTCCGAGCGGAGAAGCTGAACAGTTGGCGGTCTCATCGGCGCGGCCGCTGCTGGCGGGGCGGCCGTCAGCCGCTGGCCGCGAGCAGGGCAAGGATCAGGCGCAGCAGCAGGACCAAGAGCAGCAGCAGCAGCAGCAGCAGCAGCAGCAGCAGCAGCAGCAGCAGGCGCAGCAGCAGGCGCAGCAGCAGGCGCAGCAGCAGGCGCAGGAGCAGCAAAGTAAGCAGCAGCGACTTGGTGAGCAGCAGCAGCAGCAGCAGAAGCAGCAGCACCGGTGTGAGGCGGCGAAAGAGGAGAACTGCAGCCCCTGTGGCGACTCACCCGTTTTTGTGGTCATTGTTGAGGGCGAGCTTGTGCGTGTCCAGCAGCGGTGTCATCGCAACACGCAGCAGCAGCAGGAGCAGCAACAGCAGCAGCGGGAGCAGCAGCAGGAGCAGGAAGGCTTGCAGCTAGATAAGCAGCAGGAGCAGCAACAGCATCGTGGGCAGCAGGAGGTCGACTCACAGAAAAACGCCGCGCAAGCGGCCGCACCCCCAGCAGCCGCCGGCGGCGACCCCTCACCCGCGGCCGCCATCGCGGTTGCGAGCTTCCGCTTTAATCTGGACCGCTTGCTGCCGGCGGCGCCGCGCCGGCGGTGGCAGGAGGAGGGGCAGCCGCAGCTCAACCAGCTCGTGCTCGAAATGCAGGACGGCTGCTTCTCCCCGCCGCCGCCGCCGCCAGCCAACGCCGGCGCGGCCACGGCCGCGGCGGACGGTGGAGCGGCGGGCGACGCCCCGGCGG